CAAAGTGTTATTTTAGCGGATGACAGAACAAATCGCGTCCGTTGTCATCCGTCTGAACGGATGACAACGATTGAGATCTATTCTGTCATCCGTTGTCATCCGCTAAAATAACACTTGCGACACGTTCTAAGCTAGAGATCCATTATACACTGGCAGGGGGTCACATGTTTGCTGTTTTTCTTCAGCTAGTACTAGGGAAATCATAGCACAACATAGAACGACATAACACACTCAACCACGGGTGCAGCCTCTCTATAATGAATCCTTTCCAAGATTTACATATGGTCAGTGAGCAGAAACTTCAGTCCACTACTCACGCTAAATTGACTGCCAATGGGTATGGGTATCGATACATGGAAGCCTCATAAATATGGTCCACTATAAATCCTCTGAGAATGCTTGCTCCTTAGCATGCATCTCGCCACTCATGTTCCCCCCTCTACCCTGCCTTCTGTCAGTGCCATTCCTCGCAGACATCAGATGGTGGGGGTATGACGATGGTATCACATTCTATGGCTGGCAGGACGGGGATGACTGCGGGACAGCCGAGTTGTTAACGTGTGACAATGATGGCATGATCACACGACTGTGAGTCCCCCAGTGCTTTGCCCACTGATAACGACCCACATGTTGGGTCTGGGTGATACTAATGCTGCTATTTTGTTGGTGTAGATGCATTTGTGTGTGTGCGTCCGGGCACGTGTCTATGTATGTGTGTGTTTAGTTTCTTACACTCTCGTTACCCATCGTCATCCCTGTTCCTCACAGAGAGTTCCAGTACCATTTCGTATTTTCCAGCTTCCCGACAACTATTGGAAGCCTAGACAGGCTCTCTGTCATATATGTGTCCCTTATTGGCCGGAGGTGTCTCAGATTTTGCGTATTGTGTTTTTGTGCATCTCAGACTCCTTAGTGCCTGGGTACGTTTGCGAGCAATTCTGCCTATTTAAGTTTGCTTCAGATAGGCATTCTTACGTATGATTTTCTTCATGTGGTTCATTAGGGTTAATCTCACGTGTGCATCCCTGTTGCGTGTCATACACACACTTGCGTGTCATACACACACTTGCGTGTCATACACACACTTGCGTGTCTGCAACTGTAGAATGTTGAGCCTCATGCGACATGCATAAGATACAACATGCCTCATGCCTGCATGCTGAACAACAGGATCAGCGTCTGCTATTTTTGCAACAGTGATGTGCTCTTGCAGCCCGAGGCTCGTACCTTGTCTTGCTTGTTGGTGCACTGCCTTGTACGGAGCAGCGCATGTGCCACAACGCGAGCAGAGCCCCAAGGAGGATGGGCTGTCTGGGCTGAGGGTTCGGCCGCCAGCACCGTGCGTTTGCTCCCTTCCTCTGTCCAACCCATCATGCGCCCCTCCCCCCTCCACAGGATCGTTAAAGGTGTCACTCACTTTTACTGTTCCATTCCGCCGCAAATTAGTCAGTTAACCAACCTCGTACAGCTGTAAGAGGATGCTCACAACTACTACCTCCCTCATTTGCCTCATCATTTATGCTCTATTCCCTTGCGATCCTCCTGAGTGAGCATCTTGGTCGGTTTTCCAAACTGTTGACACCACTGCACTATCTTGCTTTTCTCGTTGCTGGCGCACAAGTTCTGGCCCTGTGAATACACCTCAAAGTTGATGGATTTGAGTGGACGCAAGCTGCAGTAATGAAGTGCACCATGACCATCATGATGCTATGAGGAAATAAACTGAATAGAACTCGTATGGGCATCAAACTGGGAACTAGAATGCACAACCTCTACTTGTTTTGTGTGTCCTATGCCACTGTGTCTCTTCCTTTCCCCCCCCCCCCCCCCCCCCCCCTCCTCTCTCTCTCTCTCTCTCTCTCTCTCTCTCTCTCTCTCTCTCTCTCTCTCTCTCTCTCTCTCTCTCTCGCTCTATCTATCGGGGGTTGCAGAGAGCTCTCGTATCTTTTTGCTGTTGGAAGTATTCCAGCAGGGATCTTCTCCCTGCCACGACTCACCAAATTGTACGCTTTGGGTGGACGTGAATGGTTTCTCGCAATCCATCCTTCTTCCAATGTACCCATCATCATAAGATTTCCCACGGCAATATTACATTATTTTATTTCCTACAGAGCCATCAGCTCAATCGAGCTTAGCGGGTCGATTCCGCCACAAATCTCCAAGATGACGCAGCTCAAGCACCTGTAAGCTCATAGGGCCTCTTCAGCGGTGGCGTTGCATGCTGGTAGAAGAGCATAGCAGGTATGGTTGGAATGCCAGGATCATTGGGACCACATGTTGGCTGGGCTGACTCACTCGCAATCACTCGTAGCTTCATGGCATTGGATAATGTCTATCTGCACGAAGGAAACCTTGGATACCGTTGCAAATGCCAACACAATCCGGGCAATCAAATGTGGTAGGTCAACAAAAACTCATAGCTTGGGGTACGCATGCCAGAAAAGAAGTAAATTGATTGATCGGGAAAGAAGGCACTCAGACAGATTGATGGTTGAGATGGGAGTCCAGCAGAATCTCCATTGGCGACCTGCCACTGGCAGGCTAGTTGGGCTAGGGGGGCATCATGACTGAATGATGTTTGGAGGTGCCCTAAACCCATCCCACCAGTCGGCAGCACAAGTAAAAAGATGCACATGTGCAATCCTTCCTACGGCGCCAACCAAGCATTTGTAACCTTTATTTATGTCTGAACTGTTTCCCAACCATACATGTACATGTGTGCTCTTTATGGATCAAACCCTTGCAGAGAACTCCACCAGCAATATCATTTTGGGGGGACTGTTCCTTCTCTAGCTCGGCTGGTGTCGCTGGAATACCTGTGAGCTTGTCTTTGAAGCATTCGTGACCTTGCATTCGAAAACTTTTGAGCTTGTCCTTGAAATGTGTGCGATTTTTCCATTGGAATACGGGCGAGCCTGGCAAAAGGCCCAGAAGAGCCAGCTTGGCCCGGCACGGAAAAACACGGGCACGCTTAGGCTGTCCCCAAAAACTCGGCCTATGCTTAGGCAGCCTAGCCCGGGGCCGCCCCTGGGCCAATGCTGGCCCAACCCCCTAAACCTGGGCCGGGACAGGCGTTTTGCCAAAGTCGCCCCAACCATGGCCCGGCACGGGCCGGACCATCCTACCTACAGTCGTTCCACCCTGAAACGGGCCGGGCTGGGCAGGCCGGACCAATGCTCATGCCTTTGTGCACAGGGCTTAGATATGCAGCAGCATGTAAAGTGATTCAAGCATTAGTTTTCCTCATTTGGTTGTGTCGTTTGATTCAAGCACATTTCCCTTTCTGCTCCTCAATCCACCCCCAGGAATCTTGCTGACAACATGTTCTCTGGCCCTTTCCCTGACATGCCGGCCTCAGCCTGCCTATCTCATGTGTGAGTTTGGGGAAAGTACCCGAAGCACATGAATAAGAGTGTAAGAGCCTGGTGGCATCTTGCTGCTGGCATCACGACCGGAGGGTCCCGGGTGATGGCCTCGGGTGTGTTGCCTCGCGTTTCAGTGGTGCATCGTGCTTGGATAGTCATAAGAAGGGGTTTCAAGTCATTTCAATTGCAGGGTAGATGGTTTGGGAAGTGTTTTGGTTATTATCGCAAACCAACTTCCATCAAGGCCAAGGTTCACCTTGCAACAGCAGCAAGGTGTAGGGTGGCTGGGATTTGCTGAGCTGATCCCCCACTAACCCAGTTTCATTGCGCGAGCATTGCCCTCGGCTTCATTGCCTTTGCCAAGGGGGCTGCTTGCCTCGTCCACCAGGTTGACTCCCAAGTGACACGGTTGAGCTGCGCTGCGCTGCCAGGTGTTGGATTGTCTGCCAACACACACTTGGGTGTCATGGGTATTCCAGGGCTTGCCACACCCACCAGCTATCCCTAGTACCAGCGACCAAGATGACTGTGTCCACAGCGTGCATAGGGGGAGGAGGGCCCTCGTCAGTATACGTCGTATTATAGTATTGCCAAGTTAAGAGCGATTCATTCATGGGGCATGTTGCGTCAACGATGGTTCGGCTTCCAGTGCGTGACCGGTCTTTGCACCCTTGTCGCGTGACGTATGCGCCACTGCAGAGACCTCTCCTACAACTACTTCTCGGGAGCCCTTCCACTATTGGCTGGCATGAAGGGGCTGAGGACCCTGTGAGTGCACATGCGCATGTCGTGCCTATGGATGCACACAGTTCTTGTAAGCCCACGCATCCATTCACAACGTTTGAGAAAGCAGAACATCCACTGTTTCTTTCCATTCTCTTCTCACCCTGTGCAGGAAACTACGAAACAACTATTTCGTTTCAGGATTCTTAGTCGGAAGAGTGTGCGTTCAGGCCACCATTTCTATCGCGAGTAATTGTTTTGCTCCCAACGATGTCCCGTGCCTCTTGGACGACGAGCAAAGGGCAGACTGCTCTGGTTTCTGTGGAATGGAAGGGCCCTCCACCCCTCCATGCGGTGGCCGTGGGTATTGCTATGGGCAGGGCCCAGCGGATTACTTCGAATTTAGGGAGTGCAGCTGCTCAAATGGCTATACGCGTGGGTCCAGTGCGACATCGTGTGTTCCTCTCATGGAGAGCTCCCAAGGTGCGTCTTGAATGGAGAATGGCAACAAGAATTCTTAGAAGCCGAGCATGCAAAAGCCTGATGAGATGTAGAGGACGTCCACATACCAGTCCTTTTCAGTAACCCATAAACACAAACAACACTGGAACACTAAACATCAACCAAACAGAACCAATAAGAATGTGAGAGATGGCTTGTTTACACTAGTCACACCTCCTGTTGCTGTCATGCACAAACAAAAATACTTGAAACCTGAGCATGATACTAACCCGCTTTTCACTCATGTGTGATGCCAATCAAACCTGTGCTCCACCATTCTTCATGGGTCCTCATCCAAACACGTGCCTCGCTCAGCCCAAGTGCTGAAGGACCTGCTGGTGCTGTGGGGCAGCGGCCCCAACGAGCAGTGGCAATCCGAGACTGTATCCTCGCTCATGTGCTTTGTCACTCTCGACGCTGACAGCTTCATTGTCAAACTGTGAGTGCTGTGGGCGGTGTGGTTTCACATGTTTCAGATGTAATGGGTGCTGAATTGGCAACATTGTTTGTGTATGTGTGGCATATTCTACATCTCCTCTGCACACACTTCTCAGATTCCCCTGTACAAGCTTCACTCTTTCCCCACTGCCCCAGTGACTTTTCGAATCAGGGGCTGCCTGGAACTATCCCCTCCACGCTCATGTCCCTCACTCGCCTCACACACTTGTACGTCTTGTGCATTCTGCTTTATACCAATCTAGTGTTAAGTAGAGAAAACCACGCGACAGTCCTAATACAAAATCTTTTATCAGAATCCTAATCGTTCTCGTTTCTCAAAGCTGCGTTCAGTTCCTTTGTTGAGGAAAATAACATGCATCTGTGTTGACTAAGTTGTTTTGCAGTACAACTCCGACTTATATGGCTGTGTCAAAAAGGGCCATCGAGTGTTTGGCTTTTCTATTCTGTACAAATGGCACCCCACTCTCTCATTTATCCCTGACCGCTTCTCATCCCCAACCCCTTTCTGCTATACTTCCTTGCAGGAATCTGTCAAAAAACTCATTCTCAGGCGTGATCCCTTCTTTCATTCGCCTGCGCAACATTCAGACTCTGTAAGAGGGCTTGCAGTCCTGTAACTATAATTGTAATTGTCATTGTCATTGCCATTGCCATTGCCATTGCCATTGCCATTGTCATTGTCATTGCCATTGCCCTTGCCATTGCCATTGCCATTGCCATTGCCATTGCCATTGCCATTGCCATTGCCATTGCCATTGCCTTGCTCTCCATCCTTTTTATTTCCTATGCTCCCTGATATGACCAGAAACAGCCACTAGTTTAAACCTCACACAAACTTGACCGCCTTGCAGTAACCTATCGTTCAACCAGCTGTCCGGTCCAATTCTTCCCTCTGTCTCCAGCCTCAAGCTCCTCCATTTCTGTAAGAAGCGCATACCAGCAATAATAACCCTTGCCTTCCAAAGGGTTGCCACTGTCGTAGTTGACGTGATGACAAGGGTTGTCGTCTACAAAGTGTTGTTCGAGCTGGGTGCTACTGCTGCTCTTACCATTCCAACACCAAGCGTGACCATCACCAGTGACAAGCACCCACGATGGTGCCTCGCACCTTTCAACCACCTCTGCATGCAGGTCTGTCAACTACAACTACCTGCACTCTGGCACTCTTCCCAAGTTCAAGTGGAAGTCCTTAAAGTTGTGCGTGGGGGGCAACTGCTTCCCCGCCAAGGCTGTCCCCTGCAGCCTGCCTCACCCCCAGCGGCCCACCCTGCAGTGCACTGCCTTCTGTGGCCTCTCTCCCGCCTCCACCCCGCCCTGTGCTGGCCGCAGCTACTGCTTCTGAGAGGGAGGGCAGCCCACTGGCGCCGCCACGTGTTCGTGTGGGGCAGGCTTCACAAGAGGGGCTGCCCCAGCAGCCTGCGATGCCGTCCTTTCTGAGTCGGAGTGTAAGGCTAGGTCGTCTGCGTTTCTAACTCTGTTTGTGGATGCCGCGCCTCGTTCTCTTATTTGTTTCCGCCGTCGTGGCACAGACGCTGCAGTATAACACATGACTGATGATCTCTCGTCTTTTGAGTTGCCCTGTGACACCTTCCATTCCTTTCCCATTGTCCAATTTCTCCCTCCGCCGTTTCCAGGGCTTGCCTTAGAAGCACTCACGGATGCATGGCACGGATATGATGGGGAGGGCACGTGGAGCAAGGACGCCCGATGTGCCAACATGAAGCACATCACATGTGACGCTCAGAACCACGTGGTCAAACTGTAAGAAGCGACGTTCCATGCTGCTCCTGTAAGGCTCCACAATGGTGGGATTAACCAGCCATAATTAAACTCTGCAAACATGTCAATGATTGGCAAATCATGCTGCAAGGTGATGAAAATGAAGAGCCTAAGCATGGATTCTGCTGTTCTAGTCTCTGTGATACAGGGACGTGGCGAGCACTCGAACATCAGGAAGCGTGCCGGAGCTCATTGGGAATCTCATTCATCTGACTGCATTGTGAGTACTGCACTCAATCATTCCACAACACTTCTTGGATTGCAGTTCTTTCTGCGGTAGGGGGTCTATAAACATAGAAAATCAATTTGCGCATATGCATGAGCATTCTTGTATTTTTATTAGGAGTTAAAGCACAACATAAATTATTACGATGTAGGCATATCACAATGAACAAAGGGACAAGTTAAAGAACAAACCCAATCTGAATCGACAACTTGCTCGGGCAACTTGGTTGCGTAAACCCTAAAAGTATTTCACGCTTATACGTCCAAGCACACTAGGGATCAGGTGATGCAGGCAATATGAGCTATAGGTTTTACCCCCAAAAAGTCCATGCAATACTGTAGAGCATATGTCATGAATGCTCAAGTGTACATGTACTCTGGGGGGCGACAAGTTGGAGAAATGGAAGCAAGAACAAATTTCCCACTCAAAGCTACGAAGAGAAACATGTAAGAGTGCGGATTAATTGATCGACACGGGGTTACAAGGAAATAACGTTTCAACCTAATCATTGCCAGAAAAATATGTGGGCTTTTATTTTGCTGCAGCCTACCTAGCCCTCCCACTGAGCTCGATATGAGAGTTATTGAGGTGCAGGTAGTCTGGCCCCAAACCCTCTTGATGGTGCCAGTTCTGATTATGGATGTTTCTCACCCCTGCTGCTGACTTCTACTTGATGTGTCCCATTGAAGCTGACTAACTTCCCGAATCTTACTTTTAAAAAATACGATTCGTGTCATTCAGGTTTCTTGGCCGCAACCGGTTCAGTGGCACCATTCCTACAACGCTGGGAAAGCTTTCCAATCTGGTCTTGCTGTAAGTGCGAACGACCCTCCTCCACCAGATTCAGCACTTTGATAGTTGTATACTCATGAAACTGTTCTCTTGCAACGTCGCTCCACATATGCTGCACGACTTGCACCATGAAGGGCTGAGACGTGACCGCTGCAAATAAGAGTTACTCGCTTGTATGTGAATGCATCGGCCGTGCGCACGCAAAGCCACAGTCGTCCGATGCACATGGTCCACCAGTTCCTCGTGTGCATGCAGTCTCGTACAGCATGCGCTAGCCTATGCGAAATCGTGTGTTTTGTGAACATATGCCATCCCTATATGGTGATCCACCGCCTGGAACCAAATGCAAAGACATCGAGTCAAACAAGTTTGATCGACCTCTGCCCGAATCCATCTCATCGCTGCAAAAACTACAGCAACTGTGAGTGTTTTTAGACAAAAAAAACCCCTTTGAACGAGGTCTAAAATCAGATAGCTTTTGGATTACTTGTTCAACCCAAAGCCTGCCTTAATGAACAAAGGCTGGTGGATTGTGTGGTCCAGAAACGTCCGGGTGAATGCGTTCAACAGCCCCATTCCGGAAGGTGTTTGCAAGATGACAAACTTGACAGCAATGTAAGTTTTTCTGTGTTCTTATGTTGCTTTACTGTCAGCTCAATTTAGAAATAAGGGCTAACCATCTTACCACTGTACTCGTTGGCCCGCCATGTTGTTCCCCCTTCCGCTTATTCTGCTTATAAGCTGCTTTCTGCTGGTCCACGTCAGCATGTCGACTCTCTTTCTCGTTGTGTCTGGGATTGTAACACAGGTCCCTTGGACTCAACAGCTTTTCAGGGTCCATTCCTGAGTGCATGTCGAAATTAGGAAAGCTTGTCAACTGGTGAGCACGTGCCTGCAATAGTGCTGGCGTGCCATGACTCAAATCACCACATTCACTGCATCTTTAGGGTTTGCCATAATGCATGGGGCTGCTGAATAACACCCTTGGATGGAAACACACATAGACACATACCTCTTTGTTCCTGTTATGCGCTCTTAGAAGTGGGAGGAAATATGAATCTATTATTTGAAGTGCTACATTATTTATTTCTAGAATGAGTGTAACCATCCAATGTTAGAAATAGACTGCAAATACCACTTTTTTATTTGTACTTTTATATCCTAGTTTAGGTTATGAATGTTCTGGTGGGTTGGGGTGTACTCACAAATCCCAACCTCACCCAATTGTGATCCCCCCAATCTCCAATTACCCAATTGGAGATTCAGGAGATCCCAATTGGGATTCCCTCCAATTCCCCCTTCATCCATTCACTCTCACCTTGCCATGTACTTATAGAGCCTTGGGCTCCATACCTAATCAATCATTTCAACTCTATTTCTTACATGGTATCAGAGCGACCTATCCGCATGTTATAATCACAATAGGCTCAGATGTACCTAAAATGAGAGAAATTCAGGACAGTCAGAATTCGGTCAGACAGCTTCAAAACTTGGTGGCGATCTTATCTGTGCCTCAAACGGTGATCTGTAAATTGAATCTGGAGCGCGTTGCTGTCGCCTATCAGCAGCAAGTTGAATCATAAGATTCCATGAAGATTTGACGACGCTATAGCGGTTTGACTGGTAAGAGGTACAGCAGCCACTATAGTCTTAGGAGTACAAACTTAGCAAGAAGAGTTCGAGAGGGAGATGGTTCTCAGCCTCTACATACCCCAAGAGCCGAGGTCCAGGTTGGTGGTACACCACCACAGAGTCCCCAACCATGAAGAGTCTCGAAACCAACCCTCCAAGGGGCTACCCCAAGTGAAATGTAACACTACACGAAGTAACGTTACTATTTTCACTATTTAATATTTATCCGCGTCCCTTGGGCTTGAAATCTTGAGCTCTTGTTCTTGGATCTGCAAGATAAATTCTTCTTGAGTTGATGGGGGCTTGCTGCACACACCTGCGACACGATGGACACTTCACACTCGACAAAATAGAAAAAACACATGCGACACACAAACGACGACTTGACATGCGAGTTGTAAAAACTCGCTAATGTCTTGACCGACACAAGCCACACTGTGATACACCATTCAAACATTCACACAAGCACTAGATAGCACTGACATAGACTCACAATTCATTCCATGCCATGCATGCACACACACAAACAAGGACGACAAGCCGAGTGCAAGCCATAGGATTGCACCAACAAACTCCCCCTCGGATTGTTGGCCTTAGAATCTGCTCCCCTTAGTTCAGAGCCATCCCAGCAAGCTTGCAACACTTCCAATGCTGCTGCTCAACCAGCCTCTTGGTCATCATATCAGCTGGCTGCGCCGTCGTCTTCACGTAGTGCAACTCCACTTCACCCGCGGTTACCATGCTCCTCACCCAATGCCACTTCACCTTCATGTGCTTGGTAAGGCCATGAAGAACGGGGTTCTTAGCCAATGCTAGCACCTTGGCTATCACAGTAGAGTGGGGTAGGTCCTTGCTGCTCCTCCCCCAATTCAGCTAGCAAACGCCGCTGCCACACAACCTCTCTTATGGCACGGAAGAGTGCCATGTATTCGGACTCCACCAAGCTCAATGCTTGGTCCACTTGTTTCTTGCTCTCCCAAGCTGTTGGCCCTCCACCAACACAGCAGATGAAGCCTCCCACACTTGTCATGTCCTCTGGTTCTGATGCCCAAGATGCATCAGAGAAGGCGGTGAGAAAGAGCCTCCCGGGTTCGACTCCATCCGCACCCTTTTGATGCCTTTGTGCCGCCGCGGAGTATTGCAGTCCAACAGTTGCTGTTTGGCCAAGGTACTTGGCCACCCTCTCTCCAGCAGCTACCTGCTCCTCATTAGGGCATTGGACAACCCTAGCCAGCTGCCCGGTAGCAAAGGCTGCATCCGGCCTTGTGTGAACGGCCGCATACATGAGGCTGCCCACCAAGGAGTGAAAACGGCGCCTCTCCTCTTCACCAACACTTTCCTCCGCTGGTCCTTTCAAACACTTGAAACCTGAGGGAAGAGGAGTAGCCACATGACCTTCACTCTTCCCAAAGTTTGCAGCCAAGGCCTCCAAGTACTTCTTTTGATGCACTCGCATCCACCGCTTCTCCACATCTCGCTCAATGTGAAGCCCAAGGTAGTAGTTGACGTCACCAAGGGTCTTGCACTTGAACTTGTCTTGAAGCTTCAGCATCACCTCCTTCACAAGGTCAGAGGAGGGTGAGAATATGAGGATGTCATCCACATAAACCACCATGAAGCTCCTCTGCTCCCCCCCGCCAAGCATGAACAAGGATTGATCGGCCGTTGAGGGAGTGAAGCCGATCGCCTCCAAGACTTCCCGCAGCTTGATGTACCATTGCCTAGGGGATTGCTTGAGGCCATAGAGTGCTTTCTTCAGCTTCCACACTCTGCCACTCCCATCATTGTACTCCTCTGGCTGCTCCATGAAGGTCTCTTCCTCCAAAACGCCGTTGAGGAAGGCCGTTACTATATCCATTTGCTTCACCACCCATCCTTTGATGGCCGCCGCGGCGAAGAGGGTTCGAAGGGTTGTACCCTTCACCACAGGGGCATACACTTCATTGTAGTCCTTCTTCTCTTGCTGCTGATACCCCTTGGCTACAAGTCTGCTCTTGTAGCGCTCGATGTTGCCGTTGGCGTCGGTCTTGCGCTTGAAGAGCCACTTGGAAGAGATCGCCTTCCGCCCCGGAGGTAGGTTCACCAAGTCAAACGTGTCGTTCTCGATGATGCTCCCCATTTCTTCATCTGAGGCCTTCTTCCACTCCTTCCCATTGGGGCCCTCCCAAGCCTCCTTGGGATTTGTAGGCTCCCCCGGTATCTCCACCGGAGAGAAGAAGGCAAAAGCGCACTCCTCGCTTTCATCTTCCGCATCATCGCCTAGCATGAGAGCCGAACCGGTCAAGGTTGAGTTGGCTGGTCCTCCAAGCTGTTCATAGCTCAACCTATTAGGGGGTTGAGTCCTCCTTCTCCCCCTTCCTTCCTCCTCTGCTGCAGGGACTTGAATGCTCTCATGGCTTTGCGGTAAGTCCGGTCGGTTCCCGCGAGCACTTGTAGCACGAGGCGGAAGTGGCGGTGCACGCTCATTACCTTGCTGCACCTCCTCCTCCTCCTCATCCCCATTCATTTGGGGAGATTGCCTCGTGATTGTGCTGCTGCTACTCAGCTCCAAGGGCAGCTCCACATGCTCCAAGCCGGTCCTCTTCACCTCTCCAAGCCGCACACCAATCTTCGCTTGGTTCTCTGCCTTCCACTCCTTGTACGGTAAGTTCTCCATGAACTTGCAATCTCTGCTCACCAAGAACTTCTTGGTAAATGGGTCCCATAGAAGCCATCCCTTGCTGTTTTGGGCCATGCCCAGGTGCACGGCCCATGTTGCCTTGGCATCAAGCTTGTTGTGCCGAAGTTTCTTAGGCACAAGTGCCATGCACATGCACCCGAACACCCGAAGCATATCCACCTTCGGCTTCCTTCCAATCCACTCCACATAGGGCACCCATTTGTCTTCTCCCACATGAGTCAAGGCTCTGTTCTTGGCCACACAAGCATGCCGCACCGCATCCGGCCAAAAGTAATTGGGAAGACCGGCTTCAATGAGAAGTCCCCGAGCCGTCTCCGTGAGTGTCCGATTCGCACGCTCGGCGATGCCGTTCATTGCAGGAGAGTAGGGCATGGTAAGAGAGTGCCTTATGCCCTGCTTCTTCAGCCAAGTTGAGAAATCCTTGCTCAGGAACTCTCCCCCACGGTCAGTCCGAATCGCCTTCACAAGTCGGTCTTGTTGCCGCTCCACCATCGGCAACCAATTGGTCTTCACCGTTTCAGCTACGTCACTCTTCTTCGGCAGCACATACACCCAAGTCATGCGAGTGTAGACGTCCACAATGGTGAGGAAGTACTCAGCTCCAGCAGCTCCAAGCTTCAAGGGGCCCACCACATCCATCACCACCTCATCAAGTGGTGCCTTCGCCGTTGTCTCCGAGCTATGGAACGGGTAGCGGGTGAACTTGGCTTGCATGCATGTTGGACAGCCAAGCACCTCATTGGGCTCCCCCTTGACACGTATCCCACTGACCATCTCTTGCTTAACTATCTGCTGCAAAATGGGCAATGCCACATGCCCCATTCGCCGATGCAAGGTCAGCCAATCACACTCTCCCGTAGCCGAAGTCGGGTTGGAGAAAGCGGCACTCGCAATCGTGCCCCACAAGCTCTCTCCTTTCTCCTTTGCCGCTGCTGCTTTGCTGATCTTAGGATTCTCCTCCTCATTTCCACCACCTTTGGCTGCTGCACCACTCTCCTTGGGTTCACACGCCTTGCTGGTCTCTCCAAGATTGCACTCCTTCGAGTCACTCTTGGTGTCACTTTTTTTTCCGTGATCACCGCCACCAACCGCTTCACTCTTGGTGCTGACGCTTGCTGCCACTTGCCTCCCCTTAGGCATGGGGACCACTGGGATTTGCCACATCTCATTGTAGATGTCCCTGTCCTCATGAAGGTCCCAAAGCTTCCGCTCACCAAGCCTCGCGGTATAAGTTTCGGAGCCCTTGGAAGATGTGTCCATGCCGGCCTTTTGCAAACGCCGAACAGAGATCAGGTTGGCTGCAAGGTTGGGCACCCAAAGCACGTTCTTGAGGCCCACCATCTTCCCATCAGCACCCTTGAACATGGCCTTGCCCATGCCTTTCACCTCTGCTCGCTGCCCCAAAGCCGATGTAACATGCTTGACCGGCGACGGTTCGAGTTCGGTGAGCAAGTCCGCACGAGGTGTCATGCTATAGGTGGCGCCGCTATCGATCACCCAAAAGTCCAGAGAGTGAAGGGTGACCTTTCCCACAGTAGCTGGCTCCTCAAAGCCTTCCACACCTCCTGCTGCAGCTGCCGCTTGCGTGGAGACAAAGAAGAATTGGCCCGGGTATCGATCTTCAATCGAGTCCTTGTCGTAGTCTCCACCTTTCATGCTTGCCGCTTCGCCTCCACGGCCACCACGGCCTCCACGACCTCTGCCTCTTCCTCCCCTTGCTCCTCTTCCCTCTTGGCCTTGAGAAGGGGTCCATCCATCAGGCAATCTGAAGCAATCTCTCCACATGTGGCCGGTCTTGTGACAAAAGTGGCATTCGCCATCAAATCGACCGCGCCCACGCCCGTAGCCATTGTTGTTGTTGCTGCCATATCCTCCATTACCACGGCCTCCACTGAAGTTACTGCTGCCAAATCTTCCTCCTCGCCCTTGGATGGAAACACACATAGACACATACCTCTTTGTTCCTGTTATGCGCTCTTAGAAGTGGGAGGAAATATGAATCTATTATTTGAAGTGCTACATTATTTATTTCTAGAATGAGTGTAACCATCCAATGTTAGAAATAGATTGCAAATACCACTTTTTTTATTTGTACTTTTATATCCTAGTTTAGGTTATGAATGTTCTGGTGGGTTGGGGTGTACTCACAAATCCCAACCTCACCCAATTGTGATCCTCCCAATCTCCAATTACCCAATTGGAGATTCAGGAGATCCCAATTGGGATTCCCTCCAATTCCCCCTTCATCCATTCACTCTCACCTTGCCATGTACTTATAGAGCCTTGGGCTCCATACCTAATCAATCATTTCAACTCTATTTCTTACATGGTATCAGAGCGACCTATCCGCATGTTATAATCACAATAGGCTCAGATGTGCCTAAAATGAGAGAAATTCAGGACAGTCAGAATTCGGTCAGACAGCTTCAAAACTTGGTGGCGATCTTATCTGTGCCTCAAACGGTGATCTGTAAATTGAATCTGGAGCGCGTTGCTGTCGCCTATCAGCAGCAAGTTGAATCATAAGATTCCATGAAGATTTGACGACGCTATGGCGGTTTGACTGGTAGGAGGTACAGCAGCCACTATAGTCTTAGGAGTACAAACTTAGCAAGAAGAGTTCGAGAGGGAGATGGTTCCCAGCCTCTACATACCCCAAGAGCCGAGGTCCAGGTTGGTGGTACACCACCACAGAGTCCCCAACTATGAAGAGTCTCGAAACCAACCCTCCAAGGGGCTACCCCAAGTGAAATGTAACACTACACGAAGTAACGTTACTATTTTCACTATTTAATATTTATCCGCGTCCCTTGGGCTTGAAATCTTGAGCTCTTGTTCTTGGATCTGCAAGATAAATTCTTCTTGAGTTGATGGGGGCTTGCTGCACACACCTGCGACACGATGGACACTTCACACTCGACAAAATAGAAAAAACACATGCGACACACAAACGACGACTTGACATGCGAGTTGTAAAAACTCGCTAATGTCTTGACGGACACAAGCCACACTGTGATACACCATTCAAACATTCACACAAGCACTAGATAGCACTGACATAGACTCACAATTCATTCCATGCCATGCATGCACACACACAAACAAGGACGACAAGCCGAGTGCAAGCCATAGGATTGCACCAACACCGCACACGCGGATTAAGGTCCTAATCTTAACGTGCCCACGCTACGCGCACCTCATCGTCGCGACATTCTTCTCGAGTCGTCGGAATTTTCGACGTGCTCCACTCTGCAGTCGCGCCTCTCATCGTCGACCGCCTTCGCGCTCGACCTCGTTGAATTTCTCATCTCTGAAGCTTTCACGCTTCTCATCGTCGATTTCCTCCTTGGTTCTCCTTGGTTGAATCTCAATTTTGACCATCTCTTAAAACTCGTGCTCGAGTTTCCCCTCAGACCCCGCCAGAATAGGCGAACTCCCCTTGCGAAATCGCCTCCACGAACGTCTCGCGTCAAGCAAGAGCAAGTACACAGGTTGAAGCGGAGCGGAGCTGGTTGCGGAGCTGGTTGCGGAGCTGGTTGCGGAGCTGTGTAGCTGCGGGACAGGGCCTGGGGGTGGTTGGGGGGGTGTGTGGGTCCGGGGTTAGACATAGGCTCAGATTGCAACCTCGCCGACCTCTTTACCGAGGCTCTCGGTAAGGCTGACCACCATCGCCTTCTCCGTTCCATGGGGCTATGTGCTCCTTGATCGGGTTTGCATTCTATGGGGGTGTGTTAGAAATAGACTGCAAATACCACTTTTGTATTTGTATTTTTATATCCTAGTTTAGGTTATGAATGTTGGTGGGTTGGGGTGTACTCACAAATCCCAACCTCACCCAATTGTGATTCCCCCAACCTCCAATTACCCAATTGGAGATTCAGGAGATCCCAATAGGGATTCCCTCCAATTCCCCCTGCATCCATTCACTCTCACCTTGCCATGTACTTATAGAGCCTTGGGCTCCTTACCTAATCAATCATTTCAACTCTATGTCTTACATCCAAGACCAAGCATGTTAAGTCGTAAGGTTTGCCAGTATCGCATTACCTATATAAGCATGCATCATGGCAATCAATTTACGTTGTACATGTTGCAGCCAACGCTTGGCCATCATTTTTCGGTTTCCACTCCTTCCCTGACTCCTGTACAAACACAGCCTAGCTTCTTGGAAACAGCTAGCAGAACAACTTACGCCGTGCACGTTCTACTGTTGAGCATGCTGACCATGGCCTCTTACCCACCATTTTGCACACTACGTATCAATCGGTTGTCAGTAGGCCTCATCGATATCTTAACCGTAATGATATCCGCACAAGTGAATCAACACCCCCTGCAATCCCTGAATCCTCACACATCCCGTCTCTTTGCATAATTGCTTCCATGTAGTGATTTATGAGAAAAGAAACTGTCTGGGAGAGTGTCGCCCGTCATTGGCCTGCTCAACAACCTTCTGCTACTGTCAGTCAGCCCATTTCGTTTGGCATTCATTCTATGATCCACGAGAACGAATCATGGGTTCATTTCCACATGATAGTTTTTGACATACACCCACGTTCAGAGGAGTTTGATTGTTCAGCAGGTCAGATTCTGGTGTAGAAAGGTATTTTCACGCACTCTTTCACAATTTTCTCTATGCAATGCCTCTCCGTGGTTTTGTCGGAAAAATACAAAATGCTGAGACTTGAGCGGCAACCGTCTTTCAGGAAGCTTGCCTAGTGCACTCAAGTCCAAGTCAGCACTCACCAGAATGTATGTGCCTTCGTTCGAAAATAGATGCTGCTGAAATACATCAATTTCTTCTCCATGTTCTTTGCGACCATGTTAAAATGGATTTTGATCCAGAAAGTATTTCTGCAGTCGTCATTGCGAGCCCATCTAAAATTTTCGGCCTTCAATCACCGCACTCAGCTGTTTTTGAATCTCCCCTGCAAACACATTGACAACAACAACCTCTGGTGCCATGGTTATTCCCCCATCTGCTACTTTCACTTCTCGAGGAAACTACTTCTCCTATTCTCCCGTGAAGATCTGCAACGCAAATCTGATTGAACGGAACTGCATCACCTATGACTCACAACTCTCCTGCTCTTCGATTCCTCAGCTCCCAATGAGTGAATGCGCTCCATTCTGTGGACTTTCAGCCAAGTCTTATCAATGTGGCGGCCAGGGTGTAATAAATAGAGTTGAAATGATTGATTAGGTAAGGAGCCCAAGGCTCTATAACTACACGGCAAGGTGAGAGAGAATGAATGAAGGGGGGAATCGGAGGGAATTCCCATTGGGATCTCCGGAATCTCCAATTGGGTAATTGGAGATTGGGGGGATCACAATTGGGTGAGGTTAGGATTTGTGAGTACACCCCAACCCACTAGAACATTCATAACCTAAACTAGGATATAAAAGTACAAATACAAAAGTGGTATTTGCAGTCTATTTCTAACACACCCCCATAGACTGCAAACCCGATCAAGGAGCACATAGCCCCATGGAACGGAGAAGGCGATGGTGGTCATCCTTGCTGAGAGCCTTGGTAAAGAGCTCGGCGATGTTGCAATCTGAGGCGATGTACCGTACCGTCAGCTAGTCACTCTGAACAAGATCTCGGATGAAGAAATGACGAAGTTCGATGTGCTTGGTGCGAGAGTGGAACACAGGATCCTTGGAGAGGTGAATGGAACTCTGGTTGTCACACCATAGGGTGGGCGACTGCTGGGGGTAGCCTAACTCAGCGAGGAGAAAGGAGAGCCAGCGTGCCTCTTGAGCAGCCATTGTGCAGAGGACCGAGTGGAGCGCCAGCTGATGACTCCGCTACCAAGGGTGAAGCAGTACCCTTGGGAGGAGCGTCTGTCAGTCTGGCCATCGGCCCATGAGGAGTGTGTGTATCCCTAGAGCTTGACTGGAGAGGTACCACCAAGAGTGAGGATGTGAGACTTGGTGGCTTGTAGATAGCGGAGGACCCTCTTGGCTGTAGACCAATGCGAGGCAGTGTAGCGTCCGGGGGAGACGTACCGAGAGAGGACACTAACCGGGTAAGCCAAGTCTGGTCGAGTGCACATCATGGCATACATGAGTGAACCGACTAGCTCAGGGTACGGGTCCTTGCAGGCGTCAGGAGAAGGAACTGGAGGGGCCGTGAGCTGATGCTGTAGTGGGAGTGGAGTGGAGACAGAGTTACTGGAGTCCATGTCGAACCGCTTGAGAAGGTTGTCGATGTAGGACTCCTGGGAGAGGGTGATCGTGCAAGCCTGGCGGTCACGAGTGATCTCCATCCCCAGGTAGTTCTTGAGGTCACCAAGATCCTTCATGAGACGGGTGGAGCTGAGAGCAGACTGGACAGCTGCCATGTCGGCTGGATCTCTGGCGGCTAGAATGAAGTCGTCGACGTAGACGAGGATGTAGAAGGGCTCGGAGGAGTGACGAACGAAGAGGCTGGAATCTGAGGCAGAGGGATGGAAGTCAAGTGCGAGGAGGACTTCCTTCACCTTGTTGTGCCACTCACGAGGAGCCTGCTTGAGGCCATACACTGGGCGCTTCAGCTTCCACACTGTGTTGGCAGGGTAAGTGCCAAGAAACCCCGGTGGGCGTTCCATGTGAACATCCTCTTTGAGCTGGCCTTGGAGAAAGGCGGAGGAGGCGTCCATGGACTTGATCTTGAAGTTGCCACGAGCTGCTATATCAAGAAGAGCGCGCACAGTCGGGAGCTTGGCCGTGGGCGAGAAGGTTTCGAAGAAGTCGAGATACTCCTTCTGGGTGAAACCCTTCGCCACGTATCGTGCCTTGAACAGTGGAGCTTCGCCTGGGAGTTGTTTGACTCGGAAGATTCATTTTCCGCCGACGATGTCGACACCGGAAGGGGGAACAACATCGTCAAAGCTGTTGTTGCGAATGAACACCTCGTTCTCCACATCCATTGCTG